AGGAGAGGTCTGCCACGCCATGTGGTCACCTCCGGGGCAGGCGGGGATCGAACTCATGCGGAAGCGGCTTTAGATTCTCAGTGCTGGGCTTTAACCCGCTGCACCACCAGGGAGGGCCTTCTCTCATAAATTTTTAATTATTTCCTTTACAAGTATAACAAACTACATAAAAGTTTTAAGCCTAATAATACAGATATACTAAAAGAATGTAAGTCAAATATTATATTTATATATCATCAAATAACCAATGGATAAGAATACAACCAAACTTAGAAGTATGAAATATATAAGCACAATTTTTGTTAAGTGTTGTCAGGGACCAAAGAGCTAGAATATAGCACTTAAAGTTTCACTAGTGTTCAATATTTTAATTCTAACACAATTTTTTAATGTTATCTATCACTTTTTTATTTTTATTGAAGAAGGGTATATTATATAGTATGTTGTAGAAAGTCTATAGAGATTAGAAAAGAGTATGGTAGGTTTTGAGAACTAAATCCTATTCTTTTTCTGTTGTATCTGAGTCTCAGTTTCCTTGCAGAAAAATCAGGGTGTTTGAGGATACTTTTTTTTATTTTTTATTTTTTTAATTATTACAAAAGTTTATTTTTACATCATTTTGCACTTTTTTTAATGTTTAGTACAGTTTGAATATTTTACAGCTTATGAATAAAGTCCCTTATTTGTAAAATCAACACATTTATGTTACTTTCCATTGCATAACAAAAACAAGAAATCGTATTTTACTGTATTAAATAGAAGTTCTACATTGAATTGTTAGAAAGGAAGTGGTTGAAAACTGACTATGCTGGTGACTATCACCTTTCTATTGTCTTTCAACAAGCTCGTCTCAATGTGCTACCACCAAACTAAGTAGGAAATGATATGATAAGTAGAAAAACTAAGATTAGATGGGGTCCATGGATAAATTCATGTAGTTTTTATATTTTACATTAAAAAACTTGTTTTTCTTTCTGGACTATAAGACACATTGGCCATCTCCAATTTCTGACTAGAAATTATACCAGACAGACTATTTTCCTCACTCGGAGCTGAGTATGTTATCTTTAGAGTATTGGTATTCTGATAAGACAGGAGAAACACAGTTGGTATCCCTCCTCTTCTTCTTTTTTTTTTTTTTTTAATATATGAAAAGGAAGCTTTATGAGTAATTTATTCTATATACCATTAAGACTAATTAAAATTAAGTAAAATAAGAAGCAAAAAGAATGGTAATAAGTTTGACAATAGTTAATAATCTTTCCCTTTCAGGAAACCTGTGTATTCTTATTATTTATCTTAACAAGAAAGAAAGAAAGAAAAGGCAATAGACAAATATAATAGTACCTCGATAATTGATGATTTCTGTCCCAAGCACCGGAGTCATCTCCAAGACTGTGATGAAGGCTTTGTCCATAGATGTTAGAGGAAAAGGAGACATGCGGTGTCTTCTAGCCACCTTGGTGATATCAACAGCACTGTGACCTAAACAGGAAGACAACTAACTAAGAATGTGATGCTGAAACACTGGTTAAAAAAGGGTGAAAGACTTGTAAATATCAACAAAATTCTATTTCATATGTCTCCAAAAGAAAAGTGCAAAATGAGAAATTTTCTACTGCTTCTAAAATTTAGCCTGCTTGGGTGGAACATAAATCAAGTTAGCAATTTGCATTATGTGTCAAAACTTAGTGAAACTTGATATTGGCTAATCTTCGAGTGCTTACTATGTTATAGCACTATTCTAATTTAACTCATTAATCTTCACAATAACTGAATGGGGAGAGATGATTTTCCTTCTTTGCTGATGAGGAGAGAGGTTTAAAGAGATAACATTATTTTGGCCCAACACTTAAACAGAGAAGTTTAAAGAGAATATTATCTTGGCCCAACTCACAGAAGAAAAGGATTCAAAGCTAGGTATTTTGACTTCAAAGTCCATGTCCTTAACCACTATAATAAATTTTGAACAGCTAATGAGCTAGTTAGTGAAATGAAACACCTTAAATTGAATTTATTTGGGATTTCAAATTTTTCTTTTTTCTAAAAAGGCATAGTAAAGTGTATTATTTAGTTACTCACTTCCTACATAACCTCATCTACGCATTAAAATTCCTAATTCCATATCCCCATTCCCAACCTCTACTCTCATCTTTAGATTTTGATATAATCAAGTAGCCAGTAGGTAAAAATATCACTTTATAAACTTATAAATCACCAACATTCCGTAGAGAATGTTAATAGGCAATTCAAATATAACGTTTGAAATCACTTTTGATTCCTCATCCTCCTTTCCTACTCATGTGAGGTCATATCTCTTGCAATCCCCATCTCAGTAAATAGCTATTCCATTCTTCTAGTTACTAGTTCAAAGCTTTGCAAAGATCCTTGATTAATTCTTTTTTTTTTTAGGGTCATGACTGAACTATCATTGAAATATCTCTAGAATGTAATAATTTATTCACCATTTCCCTTACTACTACTACTACTATAATTAGCTGGGACCTTCATTTTTTTTATGGGAAATTTAAGTTTTTAATTTTTTTCTATTATATTCTATTTTTTCCCCCTCCCATTAAGATAATTTATTTATATATATTCTGCATTATTCATTTTTTTTTACAATGTTTGCTTTTTTAGGTATAGATCGCAAGGGATTTCTATTACCAAATCACCAAATCACGATAGTCCCTTTTACTCTTCCACCCTTGTTTTGATACCCCTCAGAATGTCTCTGATTTATAGTTCTCTGTATATTTTTGCTTTTTTGTGTTGTGCTTTTATTGTTATTATTTTTCCCTTGATCCTTGTATGGTTCCCTTATATTCCTCCTATAAGTAAAACCATCAATATTTTTCTTTTTCCTTCTGGCTTATTTTGCTGAGCATAATGGCATTTAGCTCCATCTATATTGCTGCAAATGACATTAGGTTATCTTTTTGATTGATAAATAGTACTCCATTGTGTATATGTACCACATCTTCTTGATCCAGTCATCTATTTTTGGGCTTTTAGGTTGATTCCAAATCTTACCTATTATATACAATATAGCAATAAGCATAGGGGAGCAAGTATCCTTTTGAATTAAAGTTTTTGTGTCCTTTGGGTAGATCTCTAGAAGTAGAGTTGCTGGGTCATATGGTAGCTCTATTTTTAGTAGTCTGAGGAACCTCCACACAGCTTTCCCTAGTGGTTGGACCAGTTCACCTTCCCACCAGCAGTGTAGGAGAGCTCCTTTCCCCCCCACATCTTTAACATTTGTTGTTGCTAGTTTTTTAAATATGTGCCACTTTTACTGATGAAAGTTGGTAGAAATTGAATAGTTTTTAAACTGGTCCTCCTAATTCTATCTTTGTATCACTACAACTTACTCTCTACCTCATAATAACAGTGACCCTTTTAAATTATACTTTAGACTGTACTAGTATCTGTTCACAACTCTACACCCATATTATGGTCTCCACTGTTCTTATTTCTTATAATTTTTCCCCTTATTCACTGTGTGCTACCCATATTAGTTCCTTCTTTGTCCTTGAACATGCTAAGTCATTTATCTCCAGGGTCTTTTTACATGTTGTTTCATCCACTTGGAACATTATTCCCTAGGTACAATAGCTCTAATCCCCCTCATTTCTTTCAGGTCTTTGAACCTCACCAGAGAAGTCTGTTAAATATTATGTAAGAATATTACCATATACCTATCAGACACATATACCTATTATATTTACTTGTTCATAGTTTTCTTTTTCTAAAAAGAATGTAAGCTCAACAAGAGAATTTGTTTACTTATTATCCCTAGAACAGTATTTCACACACTAGACAGTGAAAATGAGTATTTTCTGATATAAATGAATCATTTAATGACAACAAGGAAATCCGGGGGCTACTGTATCCTGTTTACAAATAACTTGGGCTTACCTTTGGAAACGTATGGGTCTATATTCCAAAAGGTTGAAAGAAAATTATTAACTACAAACACTATAATTTGGGTTACCTTAACTGCCACCCAGAAATCCCTTCTTTGCCAGCCAATCTGCAGTTAAGATTGATCATATGATATAGTTCTCATCAATGAGATACAAGTAGAACTCTCTGGGGGCAGGACCCCAGTACAAGTAAACAGATAAAGGGAGAAAACTTTAAAAGAAAAAGCTTTTGTCCCTTACACATTCTTTCTACTTGAAACATGGCTATATACTGTAAGGTGATATCGCCATTTTTCAATGATGAAGTAAAAAGAGCCTGCCTCCATGATGACAATGTTGAGTTGCTCTATATAGCCTGAACTGCTTGATTCCAGATTTTTGATACATGAGAAAGAAAGCTCCCATCTCTTTAATCTACTGTATAATGATTTCATATACATCTCTCAGCAGTCTATACATTTCTGGTCACTGTAATTTATTAAGTTTAGTTCTCCTAACTCTAATAGCTGCTTCAGACAAGTTCATGGAATTGACTTAAAGATACTTCCCCAAAGAGTTTCCATTATAAGATGAATGACATTGTCATAGTACTCATAAGCATCTTTGATGTTTTTTCTTACGAAATTTCTCCATTTGGGCAATCATAAGATTACAAATTTTCAGAACTTTAAGGTTCTTAAAGAACCTTACATTCAGTGCTAATATGAAAAAAAAATCTGCTCACAATTTAAGTAAGTGAACATTATAAAAGAGTCCTAACCTTATCATTCAAATTCTTAAAAACATATTGTCATAGCCAGTGTTATTGGAGACAATGACAGAGATAGATGTTTCTACCTTTTCTTTTTTTTAAAGATTTATTTATTTATGCCTACAGAACTGGGCTACAGGTCAGAGAGAGGCGCAGGGATGGTGAGAGGATTCACCAGAGACAGTGTGGGGAGCAGAACAGGCAGATCAAAAAAGTACACTGCTCAGGGGATAAGTGGGTGGGCCAGGAGAGGTCTGCCACAACATGTGGATCACCTCAGGGGCAGGGATCAAACTCATGCTGACGTGACTTTAGCCTCTTAGTGCTGTGCTTTAAACCACTGTGCCACCAGTGAGGGCCCTGATGTTTCTACTTTTTATTCATCTTTTCAGGCCCAAGAGTTAATCTTTCTAAAATATACTGTACTTTATTTATGGTACTAATTCTTTGTGATCTTATAAAAAGTATACTTTAAAAATATTTAGTTTTTAATTTTAGAGTTTATTTGTTGCATATGCCTTTAGAAGAATAGACTTTTCTTATTAGAAAGCAAGTGTGATTGTCAGTAATACACACATCATTTAGAAATATATATCAAATATATTTTGTTAATTAGGCACAATTAGGGATCTGGGAGAATAGAGTAAGCTATACCCTATCTTCTTGAATATTATAGCTCAACAGAAAGGATGTGAATAAACAGAAAAATAAGAGGAGAGTAATAAAACACCAAACAGTTCTCTAACTCTAGAGATAAGTAGTTCTCTTTTTTAATTGGAAATTTCACCATGGATATCAACTAGCTTGGAAAAATTTTTCCCACCTTAAGATGTATTCTTATGGCTATCTTGAAATGGAACTGTTTATATCAATAATTGTTTTCTATTACAAATATATAATTTTGAATATGCTAATTCTTAATGTACAAACTATCATCTTATTTTAAAATTCATTTTTAAATTTAGAAGTAAATGAGGAAAAGATGTTTTCAGATGATAGAGCAAAATATAATAGAAACAAGATGTTCAAGATGTTCTTAATTAAATTTAAAGCCTCAGGAGGAAGCTTTATTTTTCAAAACAATCAATAAAACAGTTCCCCAAACTAGTTAAAGCATATCTCATTATTCATTCTTTGAATACAGAAAGGCTCATGGAAGAGACTTATTCTGCCTTGTTAATATTACTGTCTCTATCACCTATAATTATTAATAGCTTAAATTCCTTATAATTCTACTTTCTTAATTTTTCTGAGCAATCAACCACCTGACCACGTAAGAATAGCTCTCCTAGGAAACTTGAAGAGCAAAAATGCCAGTAATTTGTACAGGTTAAACAGATAGTGTCTTTGGTATTCAAAGAATATATGGTTTAAATATACAAAAACATAGTTTTTCATATAAATCTCTCGATTTTGGAGTCCAAAAGCTCTAATAAAACACTTACAGTAGTGTAGTAGGCTCTGGATTACAGGGCACTTTGCATATCTGAAAATGATCTCATATGATTTTCAGTTTAATAGTTTTACTGTAGATATTGTAATACAACATATTTTATGTTACCTATCTTAGCATATGATGTTCTTTCTAGTCAGAAACAACTTTCTTACTTTTTTTTGTTTTTATAGGAAATTATGATTATTGTTATTCTTTCACAATGTTCTTTGGTAAAGAAGTCTCAAATAATGATGGTAACATGAAAAGTATATTGGATTTAACTTGAAGAGACAACCTTTGGTCAAACCTGGGACAATTTAAGCATACAAATGATTTAGGCGAGTAACATTATAAAATCCATTAAAAAAGTGAA